ACACTGCATCCGATTTTCGTCGTACGACGCTCTTCAACCAATCAGAAAACAGAATTCCAATGATACGAAGCAAAATCCATCGGAATCCTGTTTTCTGAATGGTTGCAGAGCGTCTTACGACGAAAATCGGATGCAGTGTGAATCCAGCAATAGCTCCGGCACACCAGCGCGATGTTCGTCGCGGCCGATACGCGATATCCAATGAAAGTATATTTTTAGAATGAGAACTTTGGTAAAGCTGTACATTCATTGGATATCGCGTGTCGTGCGCGACGAACATCGCGTTGGTGTGCCGGAGGCATTAATCGGGTTTAAAAACATTTGTAGTTATGAAACTGACCAATCATAGCTATTTCTCTGAAGAATGGAGTGACTGTGATTGGTTAGTTTTCAACTATGGATGTATTACTAAACCCAATCAAGGATGACCGTGTAAACGTAGTCACTGTCTTGAATATAAAATCTGATTTTGAATATCGGCCCATGATTGGTTCAATGTTATATCTTTCTGTGATTAATTATATTGCCTTAGGCTGCCATCCCATGAGCGGAAATTTACAGCGGAACGGAACAGCGAGATCAATCACAATCGTAAAAAGAAAAGCTGAGTAATGACTGCAGAATTGTGATTGGTCGCGCTGTTCCATTCCGCTGTAAACTTCCGCTCATGGGATCGTGGTCTTATTCTGCGTATGCGTACAATTTTGGCAAATTTTGGCAATAATTTTTCAAGCGTGTTAATTAGCTGCAAGACAAAGAAGATCTCGGACCTTTTTGTCCCATAGTCAATCAACAGGCTTGAAAAATTTGTTGTACGACAAAAAACGGACGCATGTAATGCGAGGTCTACAATAGAAGTCGTAGCGGTTATATGGTCTTAAGTAGTAAAAAACTGACCAATCATAGTCGATTATTCTTTTCATGACCATTCTACAATAAGCCATTAATCATAAATCAGAAGTTAGAAGCTGGAAATTGATCAATCTCGGTCGTCAATTTTTTACTTCTGACTTCGGATTTATGATTAATGGTTTATTGCAGAATGGCCATCATATTCGACTGTAATTGGTTAATTTTCTACGATTTAAGACCCTACGACTTTTATTGTAGACCCAACATTATATTCGCTTGAGGCTATAAGACACGTCGGGAGTAAGTTGATTTTCTGGTATAATGGGACATAGAGTAAATCGGTAAACAATAAGAGAGTAGAAAGTAGGAATTGGATTTCAACCATTCACTTTATGTGGAGTCTACAATAGAAGTCGTAGCGGTCGTAGGGTCTTAAGTCGTAGACAATTAACCAATTACAGCCCAATATCAGAAGAATAATCGACTATAATTAATCAATTTTCTACGACTTAAGACCCTACGACTGCTACGACTTCTATTGTAGACCCCGCATAATGACACTATCATATGTCCCTCTCAAAGCTGTACAACTTTTGTGTTAAAAACATTTTTTCCGAAAATAAAAAATAAGAACATTATTGGGGGTGGGACATTAAAATGAGACACCCTGCACATGATTATATATGTTTATGAATATTTATGTATGTTTATACATATTTGTACATAATCATGCATAAAAAATTTTTTACCCGATTCTTATTTCCTGTTTTTATTGCCTGTGCTTTTCATTATATTTCCAACTTTACCCTCGATATATCACTTATGTTTATTGTTCAAATAACAGTTAAAATATTATAAATCGCGTTTCA